CAGTGTCCTCTGGCCCGGCCGTGAGCGCAGCGCGCGATTGCCCAAGCCCAAGGAGTAAAAGGTTTTGCTTGACCCAAAGAGTTGTGTAGACACTTCGTACATTTTTTAGACAGTCCCTTGTGGTCTGTCTCTACCCGAAGGTAAAAATTTCCCGTTTTGATAATTATTGCCGGTTCTCGTTATCCAGTTTTGATAAAGATAGCCGATTGACGTTCCAGTTCCAGTTTTGATAATCCGATTGACGTTGATAAAGATCTGTCTTGCTATAATATTAGGCTGTGGGGGAAGGCTTTCCGTCCGTTTTCCGTCCGTTTTCCGTCCGGACCAAGCCCGGTGGCAGTCCCTTGTCATCGCCCTGGTTGTGTTATAAACACAGCGCCCTTATCCCTTGCTTCGCGCCGGGCCATGGTGGTCCAGCTGACCCCCACTCGAGCCTCTTGAGGGAAGCTGCGTTGCGCCTCGCGCCCCGCGCCCCAGCCCCTACCCACTTAGAGCTCAATCGGCACCGGGCGCCACATGGCCCGTCCACTTGACAAGTGATCCCCAGCCTCAAATTTTAAAGTTGAACCACAGCGCTCTGAAATATGAAATGTGCTTGTTTTCGCGCGCGCAGAAATTACGAATCCAGCAAAATTTGAATGGTGGTTCTAGCATAATTTGCTGATTTTCGTTGTTTTTGATTTTAACCTCAGCTTTCCGTAACATGAAAAAGCGCTCCTGGGTAAGGTGAAAGTATCCCGTTTTGATAAAGGTCGCCGTTGTCGGATATTGCCGATTAACGTTTCGGTTTTGATAAGAAGATTTTCAGTCTTATTTTGATGCCTTATTGAACTTAAAAATACAAGCCTTAGCGCCTGTATATTTTGAATTTGCTTTTGGAGCCGGACTGTCTCGTTACCGGCCGGCAGGCCAGTTTTTTTTATTTATTTGCTACTTATTGACTTCATCTGTTGTTGTTCCCGTGTTAGCACCAAACTGGGAACCATGAGATGTAAGAGGAACCGTACTTAAGTAGATTCTCATACACGAAATGCAATCCCAATTTGGATCCAAAATCTTGAAGTCCAGTCTCCATTTCCCGTAGAAAAAGCCAGGAACTTTTCTTGCAATGCTCAGATCAGCTTCACAGTTGTCCAACACGTATTTGCCCTGCAAACACGAACGGGGTTGTAGAGACATGCAGGTGGAAGCCTGAAAGGTAAACGACGCTTCTTTTCTGTTTTCGAAAAGTACACGTAATTCAACATCTCCACCTAACAGCAGTCTCAATACTTAATTGTTCACCCTTAGTGTACAGGCAACCGCATGCGCTCCGCTGTGCGCGGAGCCGCTGAGCTGGGGATCCGTGCGCAGCGTGGCGCCCACGTCTGCACTGGTCTGCATAGGAGAGGCACAGATTCGTCCCGCCGAGCGCCCGGGTCGGCACCGGAAAAGCACGCTAAAGGCACAGGTTTGTACGCGTCTGCACCGCGAAGGCGCAGTTTTGGCTGTCTTTTTAGACAGTCCCTTGTGGCTGTCTCTACCCGAAGGTAAAAGTTGCCCGTTATGATGTAAAGATTGCCGTTCCAGTTTATGTAAAGATTGCCGTTCCAGTTTTGATATAATATTAGCCGATTAAACGTTTGATAAAGATCTGTTTGCTGCCTCTCTATATTATACTATGCTGGGGGGAGGCTGTGGTCTTCCGCGCGCGGCGCTCCTTCCGCGCGCGGCGTTCCGCGCGCGCTGTTCAAGACTAGTGGCAGAAACCTGTCATCGCCCTGTATACACAGCGCCCTTAGCCCTTGTTCCACGCAAGGCCGCTCCTCGCGCCGAGGCATAATGGGCCAGCCGACCACTTGAGCCTCTCGCAGCGCTGCTCCTCGCGCGCCCCGCACCCCAACCCCTGCCCACTTAGAGCTCAATCGGCACCGGGCGCCACATGGCCCGTCCACTTGACAAGTGATCCCTAGTCTTAAATTTTAAATTTGAACCACAGCGCTCTGAAATATGAAATGTGCTTGTTTTCAGGCACCCAAAAATTACGAATCCAGCAAAATTTGAATGGCGATTCTAGCATAATTTGCTGATTTTCGTTTCGTTGTTTTTGATTTTAATCACAGCTTTCCGTAACAAGCGCTCCTGGGTAAGGTGAAAGTATCCCGTTTTGATAAAGGTTGCCGTTGCCGGATATTGCCGATTAACGTTCCGGTTTTGATAAGAAGATTTTCACTCTCGTTTTGATGCCTTATTGAATTTAAAGATACAAACCTTAGCGCCTGTATATTTTGAAGTTGCTTTTGGAGCTGGACTGTCTCGTTACCGGCCGGCAGGCCAGTTTTTTTTTGGCTGAGCGTTAGCGAAGCCTTTGCTGTCAATGAGGTGCAGGGAACTCTTTGGTTGTGTGTCTGTCTGTCTGTCTGTCTGTCTGTCTGTCTGTCTGTCTATCTGAAATCACACACGTTTCTCAAAGACGGCAACTCCAATTGACTTCAAACTGCGCACGAAGCATCAGTATAAATCCGGTCGTATCGAGTTTAGTTTAGAAGTTTGATAGAATATGTTTGAAATAAGCGATCGTTTAATTTGAATTCGTAGTTTGGTGGTAGTAGGTTGGTAGCACGGCACTCTCACCTGAAGACTTTAATACCTTCTCAGCAGTGATTAAAATGTCAGATAGTCAAACCGAGTGTTTTAGTTTTAG